GACTAACTTAGAAGGATTCACACACAAACAGAGTATACATATGGGGCTTACATGTGCAGAAGCAATAAATTTAAATCTAAATAGTCCACAAGAGCTGTGCATAAGTCAAGTGAAATGACATACATTTTAACATGGTGTATAACCTGAATACAAATAAAATAAGTACATGTTACATCTTGATCAAAAGGCTTCTCAAGCCGACATATACAAGAGAAATGAATTACAAAGCTAAGAAGCATAATCTTCACGATGCTAGCAAAACATGAATCCAAAACAACTTCCAAATAACATCTAGGCATCACCGCCTTCTTGCTCGTCACCTATATATATATATATATAAGGAGAGGGTGAGCTTGGATACTCAGTGAATGATATTAGTAATAAAGGTTTGAATGAATGATATTCGAGATCTTTATCAAAACAATACATAGCATGTCTTGTACAAAATCAAGGGATAGACCAAGTTCATCTATCAAGTCTTTCAAAGCTTCAAGGAATGCCTACTAGCATCAATATAATACAAAGGATGACATTCTTGACAAAACAAGGGAATAATCGACCCGGAATCAATTAGACAAACCCACCCGTACAAGACCGTCGGTGGCAAGGGAGATATCTCAAACAAGGGTACTAGTTGCATTATAGTCCCCTAGCACTAAGGACTTTCCAAGACTGTCATCAAAACAAGATAATACTTGATACAAAACTAGGAATAATCATTCATACTTGAACAAACACTTTTTCAAAACGAAACAAGCAAAGTTTTTACAAAAATATTAGAACATAGCTTTATTAAAAATACCACTCACTTAGCTCTTCGGGTGTAGGGATTAAGGCAAGAATCCAAGACCTACAAACACATGGCAAGGTCTACTGATTGTATTTCAAGAAGACAAGAATGAATGCTCAAAAGATGGCTATGCAATGCATCCCTAAAACAATCTTTACATGGGTGTAAATAATCCCGGCATTTCTTTTAAAACCAACTCAAGACAAAATAAAACATGTGCTGGGAGTTAAAACACTATTTTTCATCTCGGGAAAACATGCTGGGTACCAACCAGGTCTTGGTCGAGGTCCCACACCTCTTGGCCGAGATGCGGTCTCCTAGGCCTAGGTGTACATGCAAGATAGACTAAGGTGCAAGTGATCATGCAATGTAGGCTAAGGTGAGATACGATGCTTGGCCTAGGTGTGAGATTTTGGCAAGAGTGGGTCTCGGCGACCACACTTAGGCAAATGAAGTATAGAAATTTGGGTTTCCTCTTGAAGAACATGAAGAACGTGGACATGAAGAACTTGAATGCTAAAATCGTAACTTCTCTATTCAAAATCTGAGATTTCATGATATGAGTCAAAAGCATGGACCTGAGTACCCACACTTTGAGATTTTATGAAAATAAACACAAAAACATGGATCTTGATATAAACTTTCGGATCAAAACATGGTTTTTTTTCAAGAACATAAGAACATCATTTTCTCTTTCTAAAACCAAACTTTAAACCAATGCATGGCTCATGAATGATGCTAGATCATGTAATGCAATAAGATTAACATAAAGAACGACAAAAGTAGATCAAGAATCTAACCTCAAAACACGGATCTAACGGTTCAAACTCTAAAGATCAAGCTTGGGATTTAGCTCTCTCACTCTAAACTTCTCTTCCTCTTCCTAGAGCTTCTCTCTCTATAATACAAAAGGTATGACACAAAATGACATGGGTTCTCAGCTAGTACCTGACTTAACCCTCTGCTGGGACACGTGGCAACGTCGGATTAGATCTATTAAAAAAGGTGACAGAATGATAAGACAAGAGTATGACAAAGTGTGTATAACAAGCAAGGTGACAAGGGCACTCTAACAAGGTAATGATCTCGGATTAGGGCATCGGCTTCGGGCAAGAAGGTTTCGATGATCTCGGCTAAAAAGGATAACACTTGGCCTAGTTGTGCCACACCTCGACCTAGATGTGCCACACCCCAGTCTAGGTTATAACAGTCCAGGAACAAGATCACTAGGTGCAAAGATCAAGGATGTTGGTTGCCTAGATGATAACATCTCGGCCTGGATGATACACATCTCGGCCTAGGTGATGCACACCTCGGCCTAGATGATGACATCTTGGCCAATATGCCAAGGTGAAGATGGAGGTCAACCAAGGTGGTTCCAAGATGGTCCTAGGTATAAGAGGTTCAAGGGTGTGACCTAGGCTACACACACTAAGCAAGGGACAAAGCATACAAACAATACTCAAGCAAATCACATAAGCACAAAACAAAACAGGGACCTTTACTTTAGGCAAAACAAGTCAACCTACAAATGCAAGCTTAACAAAACAAAATCATGCAGATGCACATGAACATGGCTAAGACGAGGATGAGGGCCATTACACAACATACATCAAAACGGCCTCGGGCCCAATCACATTTCAAAACAACCTTGGGCCCAATATATAACAAAACGGCCTCAGGTCCAATCATATATCAAAACGACCTCAGGCCCAACATATAACAAAACGGCCACAAGCCCAATCCTATAACAAAACAACCTCGGCCTAACATATAACAAAACGGCATCGGGCTTAACGTTGCACATTGCATATAATATTAATGAGGTTTCTCATTTCAAACAAATCATAATGTCAACACCATTCACCATTTATGGTTTGAGGTACACAATAACGAACATATAAATATGGTATTATTACTCACAACGAGATTAATCTTGTGGCATTTCCTCCAGCACACGACCTACACTAAACATGTCACACACATATTCGATAAGTAATTCACTTCAATTGTACTATTTTCTTTCATTATTCACAACCTTCTTTAATGAGTTTCTATTCATAATTTAACTCCCAAAAGGGGCTAAAATAAGGTTGGGAACGCATTCTGGAGGTCAGGGTAGCAAGACAAAACAACACAATTTTTTTTCCTGTTTGGTCCAGCCGCTTGAGTGATCTGGCTCCGCACGTGGAGAAATGGTTGCCACTCGAGCGCATAGTGAGAAGTGGGTTTAGGCTTAAATCTTGGGTGCTCGCGCGGAGCCCGAGGCCACACGAGTGGTCTGGGCTCACTCAAGCAGTCCGAAAATAGCTTCAAGATGCAAACGTTTTCCTTTTATTCCTAAACCCCAATCCATGTAAAAACAACTCAAAAACATGATATCTAAGCATGATACAAGTGTAATTCCACATTAAACATATCAATCTTGCATCAACAACAATTTCATGGTCCCATCTTTTCACAATTTCATGGTTTACATTCATATGTTCAAAATACATATATTCATGAATGATTTTCTCACAAATCTTGTTTATATGAACCATCTAGGGTTTGTTTCATGGATCAGTCATAAAAATGAACTCAAATCAAACAATGGTGTAGAGATTAAGGTCCAATTTCATGCCTTTAGCTCTAGTCATTACACAACTCAAAATCCTAACTCAAAATTCCTAATTTCTTCATGATTTCTTGACAAAGATGAGTTAAAGACAAAGTTTGTAAGTAAATTAACATACCTCAACTCAAATCTAAGATTTGCCCTTTGATTTTCTTCAAATCCTTAGCTTTCTCTTCCTCTCTCTCTAGGGCTCTCAACCAACAAATGAAGAACAATAGGGCTAAACACACATATATGACCCAATTTATGAAACATGATTAAATCATTATGAATCATAATTTTTCAAAATTTCATCGTAAGCTCTATAAATCATATTAATCATAGATATGAAGTCGCTTTTTGTTTATCACGCCTCTAAGGCCTTCAATTTCGGTTCAAAGTCCAATTGCAACAGATATTTCTATTTTTAACAGATATTTTTTCAAATTCATGTAATTCACATACTTAAATTTGTAAATTCATCTCGACTACATAATCACATGCATAATTAAGTATAGTACGAGTTGGGTTATTACATTAGTCCACATTATTTTCTTATATTCAAATAAGTCTTATGAGTGATATAGTTACCAAAATACCTCTAATAATATTCACATTTAAAGTATAAATGTTCACACCGTTAATATAAATATTCATACTATCAATGTGAACATTCACACATCAATGTGAATATTCACATTATAAAATATGAATGTTCACATTACCAATTTGGTAACCGTTCAAAAAATATTTATAAGGGTAGAAATATCTATAAAATACTTTAAATATGAGAATTAGGATTTGGTAGATCAAATGTTGAAATAATAGAATTTATTTATATTTTATGGATTAATCGGGATACAAACACTTGAAAAAGGATTTTCTAATAAATCTTCATTTATTTTATTATGTTATTTTTAAATTAAAAATAAGATAAATTACAACCAGACATTGAGGTTTTAGATAGGGACATTTTTTTTAAAATTTTTATAAATCTTTTATTTAATTTTGTTTATTTCATTAATTAGTTGTAGGAGTTTGATATAATTATATGGATTTTATTTTTAATAAAGTTAAAACAATCAAAATCAATAGAGATAGTGGTTACACACTAAATAAACAAAATAAATATACACTTTAATATAAAAAATACAATTACATATATGTTCATGTATACAACTAATGAATTATTAAAAATAAAAAGTTAAATGTTACATAAATTAAAGTCTTGAAAAAGTCTGGTATAATTATGTTAAAAGTATAAAGTTGATTATATTTTTTTTCAAACTTAAAGAGATGTGTCTAAGTTACAATAAAAAAAATAAGTAAAATTACAAAAAAAAAAAAAAACAGAATTTTAGTATTGTATCAATTCAAATTATAATATTTTGATTTATTTTTTAAATTATAATATTTTTTAGACATTTTTCATATAAGTATTTTTTTTTGGGAACAATCTACCCTTACATTATAATGACTAAATTATTGTTTTTTTTTGCCAGTTACTTAACAGAAATAAGCACGTATTTAAAAATTAATAATTTATCTTGTTTCAAACTTCACATCTTTATTTATTTATTTTAAAATGTGTTTATCATTTATTTCTAATAACTTAGAAAGTCAATCAAGAGTAAAAAGCATGAAGGGCAGAGAGAGGAGCAAATCCGGGTCTAGGGATGGGGATGATACTGATATAAACCCCAGTAGGAGTAGTAGTAGTAGTCGCCTTGCTGTATTGATCTCTCATTTGTCTCTCTCTCCTCCTCCTACTCCTACTCATCTTCTCCATCTTCAGCCTTCCATGGCTTCCGAGAAAGAAGCTGCTCTCGCTGCAGTCCCCTCCGATTCCCCCACCATGTAATCTCTCTCTCTCTGTCTACATCTTCGTTGTTTTTTTGTTCTTAATTTCTGTTATCTTTGATTATCGTTACGGTATCTGAAATTTACTTAACTAATTATGCTTTAGTTTTCTTAAATTTTCAATTAATTTTCAATTAACGGCTTGATTTCCACGCAATTTGTGTATTACATTATAGAAAGTGTGTTTTATGAGTTGTTTTATCTGTTTTAATTGTTAAGATTATGTGAGAAACTGAAGTGGGGATTTGGATATGTGTTGTGTATTTTGATTATTGTTGGAAAGGCTGGTGTTTTTGTTTGAGTTTACAGATTGAGAATTCTGACATAGATTTAGGGAGTGTTTGGTTTATTGGAATGAAGTGGAATCAAATGATTATTCTACCAAATGTCTATTCTCTTTGATTCACTAAAAAATGATGAAAAATGCACTGCAAGGTGGGTGTTTGGTTTTTTTTTTTTTTTTTCAGTGTTGTTTTCGTTTTTAGTAAATTTAAAAAACTTTAAGCATCTAGATTTTATTTTACTTGATGAGATGAACTGGAAAATTTAAAAATTAAAAAAAAAATCTAGAAAAGACAAAGATAAGCTAAACACGGTGGACCTTTTTTGGCTTATTTTGGATTTTTAATTTTTTTGGAATACTTCAAAAAAATTTACTTTTTTGATCCATCTACACAAGATAGACTAGAAAAGTTTTAAAAAAAAAGACGTAATTTTGAAAAAAAGTTACTAAAGACAAAAAAGTGCAGAAAAAAATGTGACATATTTGGAAGTTCCTAATCAGCCACTACTCACCATTTCCATAACAAAGTTAAGGAATGACTATTCTATTAAAGTGAACCAAACTCTACATTAGTGTAAAGATCAACAGAGTAATATTGTGTCGTTGGAAACTTCTTGGTATTTGGGGAATTGGGTTTGTAACCAATAAGCCAAAAGCCACTATACGTTGTCACATCTCTTTCTCATCTTTTCTTTTACTAAAATAGTCAATTCCCAAATGAGGCCAATTATGGGTAAATTACTCCAGCAGTTAATGTGGTTTGACCTTTGCATCACTTTTGGTTCTTGCACTTACAATTTTTGCATATAAAACCCCCATTTATTGTGATGTGAACCTTCCATCTAGTTCCATGCAAAATCACAACCCAAAATAGTAATGTGATGCACGTGTACTCCATTTATGCACTCAAACTGTAAGCACAGGGATCAAAGTGATACCAAAGTCAAATCATGGAAGCTCATCCAATGTATTCGATTCTAAACTTGCTAACAAATGGCATATCATAATATAGAGACTAAGAACATATTTAAAAATTTTCAAGCTCACATAGTTCTTTTAATTTGAAGTCTGCATTATGTTCTTTGTGCTTTGAATTGCGTGGTAGGATTTTAGAATTGGAGGTTTCTATCTGAAATTCTGAATATTTTCATTGACATGTTCATCTGAGACTCTCATCTTTCTCTATTGTTTAATGTGCAGATTTGACAAAATTATTAAGAAGGAAATACCATCTAAAGTGGTTTATGAGGATGATGAGGTACTACTGTACTGTTTGTTTTAGTTTATGCACTTTCTCTGTGGAGGATTCCTTGGGATGAAATGTTGTCCATGGTTCCTTGAGATGTCAAGGCCTTGTGTGGAGACCCATGTTATTCTTTAATTGAGTTGTCGTAGATACTTCAATCTCTTCTAGTCATGTTGCTTTTAATGTTCAAGAATCTTACTTTGAACTATTGTGTTTTTAGAATTTATAAGTATGCTATGATATTTTTTCTTTTGGACTGAAGGATATAATATATATATATGAGAGGGTAATTGTGAACAAATTGGGCCAAGCTAGGAAAGCTTTCTTTGGAAGTTGGGCCGTGCAATGGGTCGAGATAAGAGTTGGTGTAGCTCGGTCTTGGGCTAAGAAGACATTAGGTCGGTCAGAGATGGGTTGCTAAAGTCTGGACCTAGCTATCTGAAGGTAGTCCTTTATCGGACCGAGATGTTGTCAATAGAGAGGGCCGAGCTATGTGTAGCACGGCAAGGTGCCATTTGGTAGATCGGCTTCTGGTCACGCGGCCCGAACAGCAGGGGACTGAGATATGGTAGCTCGGTCAGGAATGTATATCTGAGCATAAGGGTGTGGCCATCTCACTTGGCTGGCAGTGATGAGGGTGTTCTAAGGATAAGCTTTATCCTTAGGCATGAGACTCCTAAGAGGACTCTGTTAAGGAGAGTTAGAGTTCTACTGGGATTGTGCTAACTATCTCACTTGGTTGGTAGTGAGTAGGGTGTTATTAAGATAGGCATCATCGTTGGGAATGTGATTCTTAGGAGGACTCTGCTGAAGAGAGTTAGAGTCCTCCTAGGATTGTGCCAGGCAGATTCTATAAAAACTCATGACAGGATCTATGGACAGGTATTGCAATTCTTACTCCCAAATACACAGAGCTTATTGTCTATTGTCTACTTTGTTGACTTAGGCATCGGAGGGGTTTCTGGCACACACTCGCCGGTTAGCTCAGATTTGTGTTTTCAAGTAGCGAAGCGATGACGTTTGGAGGAGTGCAAACTTGATCAACAGGATTACATGAGAAGATTATTTCGTGCTCGTACAATTGGCGCCGTCTGTGGGAAGTGCAACAGAGAACGAACCTTTTGATCAAATTCTTCTTCAACTAATTTCAAATGGCGCACAACGACGACGTGCCACACTATGCTATTAATGGACAAACCCCAGAGGGGGGCACGAGGCGCGAAGGTTTGTCCTTTGTTCCTCCCATGGCAGAGTTGGATCCCTAGTGACGGAACTCACGAAGGGACACGTGAGAGAGGCGAGGGATTAGTCCTCGTCGTTCTCAAAGCCCTGATAGGCAAAGACGGAGGATTGATCCTCAGGTTCTAGAAGATCGCGTAAGGGAGCAAGACGAATTAATAAAAAGAATGGCGGCCGACATAGAGACGATGAAACGCCAGATAAAGGGTAAAGGGGTGGCAAGAGAAGAGATTCACGAATGCAGAACGCGTTCTCACCACTCAGGGGATTGCACCAGGCAAATCACACCATCCCAAATTGAAAGCAGGAGTCTCAGAACAATCGAGACACAATCAAGGACATCCAGGACTCATTTCTCTAGATCTGAGAGAACGAGGATTGAAAGGTCTTGTACGAAGAGAAGCAGTTATCGGCCCTCGCGTACACACCAAATGACATCTAGGCACACTGAGTTGCCTAGGTCGGTGGACTTGTGAACAGTACTGGAAGAGAGAGCTCAAAGGAGAGAAGAAGCCCATGCACGCGACCCCTAAAGTGTCTTTGCTTTGCAGCGGTTGGCTCCTTGGATACATGGAAGTGTTGAGGTTGGAGTGTTAGTACCGCGCCTTGCTTACGAGCCAACAGACAAAGCTTTAGCAAGGTTGTAAAGCTCGCCGTTCATTTTGGTAATTGAGAACGCACCGTTACCTTTGGGCTTCCATCAACCCAAGTTCACCACTTATGAGGGGAAATCAGACCCCTACATGCATATCAGGGTAGATGAAGACGGTGCTCGCGTTAAGGCAAAATTTGGCATAACAGCGATGTCGGACAAAAAGCCCACAACAAAGGTCAACACAATTGGATGTGATGACCGACCAAACAAGAATGGTCGAGGTAGGCGACGAAGCGGCGAGGACATCCAGGCAAGGAGGTTTAGAGTCTGCACCGCCATCACCACAGTGCTCAATAAACCTATCTACCAAATTCTTAGTGAGATACGCGATAAACCCTTTGTTCGGCGGCCAGCCAAGTTGGGAGAAACACAAAGGGGTTATGACGTTAGGTATTGGTGCACCTTCCATGATGAAGTGGGGCACCGAACTGAAAATTGTACGCCTTTAAGGCAGTGTCTGGAAGAGTTAGTGGCATGGGCCACCTGCACCAGTATATTGAGGGGAGAGCTTAGCCAACCCCCCAAAACCACGACGGGCCAGATGGAATGCTAGCTGATGGTCCGCCCCAAGGCGTAATCAATGTGATACATAGGATCATCGAGCCTGAACGAGTATGTGAGCTCAGGGGCATGATCAAAAAGGTTGAGCACATGAGGGAGGTACAGAGTGCATAACCTGCCGCGAAAAAGGGGAAAACGGAGGCAACTAACGTCATCGCCTTTTTTGATAAGGACTTAGCAAGGTTACAATGCCCTCACAACGACGCATTAATGGTTACTTTGCGTGTCAAAAATTTTGACATCAAACGATTCTGATTGACCAAGAGAGCTCTACAAAGCCTGAAAGAATATATGACTAATGGAAGCTTATATAGACGACAAAACAATGGAAGCTTACATAGATGACATGGTGGTCAAGAGCAAGAATGAAGGAGACCATCTTAAGGACCTAGCTCAGATGTTTCGAATTTTGAAGACCCACAAATTGCGACTGAACGCAGCCAAGTGCACGTTTGGTGTGGGATCAGGAAAGTTTGAGTGGGATAACGAGTGCGACCGAGCTCTACAAAGCCTGAAAAAATATATGACCTCTCCGCCGTTGTTGGCTACCCTGGTTCTCGGAGAAGAACTTTTTCTATACTCAGTAGTCTTCCAGTACGCAGTCAGCGCAGTGTTGGTACGAGCGGAGGGAATACAACACTTGCCTATCTTTTACGTCAGCAAGACTTTGTTGGGCGCTGAAATGAAGTACCTGCCGTTGGAGAAGTTGGCTTTAGTGTTGATGATGGCTTCCAGAAAATTGTCGCACTACTTCCATACCCACACAGTGATCGTTTTATCAGCTTTCCCCTTAAAAGCCTTGTTCGAAAGGGCAGACTTTTTTGGGAGAATTTTGAAGTGGGCCGTGGAGTTAGGACAGTTCGACATTAAGTTCCAACCAAGAACCGCAATAAAAGCCTAAGCCTTGGCAGACTTTGTGGTCGAATTTACTCTAGGAAGTCATCATGTTTGCCTAGTTGACTTGACCGAGGCAACTAAACAAGCAAGGGAAAGTGTCGCCGGGACAGCATAACCCGCGCAGCAAGTCACTCAACTGCGCAACAAACTAGTCAACCTTGCAGAAAGAAAAGAAGGAGCAGACCGCATTACGACAAGCAAGGACTTGGCTGAAAGTGAAGTTCTCAGATAACCAGGCAGTGAGGACCAGACCATAATGATGGACAACAACTTAGAAGAAGACAACGTCAACGTCAACGCCCACGCCCACGCCCCTAATCCTAAGGCATCATCAGTTCCTTCCACTTGCTGGAAGTTGTTTGTAGGAGAGATGTGGAAACTTTTCGTAGGTAGAGCGTCCAACAGGCACGGTGTAGGGCTCGGCATAGTTCTCATCTCACCAGATGGCTTGACCATTGAACATGCAAGTAACCTTGGATTTCCAACATCCAACAACGAGGTGGAGTATGAAGCATTATTAGTTGGTTTGAAGTCAGCATTTTTCATGGAAGCTACCGAGCTGATGGTATACAGTGACTCCCAACTTCTAGTCAACTAAATTTTGTGCGACTACGAAGCAAAAGATGATAGAATGGCCAAGTACTACGAGTTGGTCAGAAAGGAGATCATGAAATTTGAAGTGGTTAGGATAGAGCAAAACGGCCGAGAGGAAAATAATAAAGCAAATGAGCTGGCCGGTTTTGCGTTAATGGCAGATACGTTTTCCCACACTCATTGTTAATAGACTTCTTGCCAAGAACAAGTATTAAAGAGCCTGAAGCAGCCGAAGCATGCTGTGCCGATCTAGGTCCTTCGTGGATGAACCCCATCATAGCGTTTTTGAAAAATGGCATTCTACTTGAAGAAAAGAAGGAAGCCAACAAAATTCGCGCCAAATCGCAGCGGTTTTGGCTTTCCCTAGCCCTGGCGTTGTACAAGAAGTCCTTTATAGGACCATACTTAATGTGTGTCCATCTTAGCAAGGTCGAGGCATTCTTGTTTGAAATTCACGAAAGCGTGTGCGGGAGTCATCAAGGAGGGCGATCCTTGGCCTACCAAGCTATTTCACAAGGGTATTGGTGGCTGTATATGCAAGCAGACGCAGAGAAGTACATCAAGAAGTGTGAGAAATGTCAGAAGTTCACACATTAAATACATTAACCAGCTAGAGAGTTCCTGCCTTTGACCAGCCCTTGGCCCTTTGCAATGTGGGGCTTGGATATAGTAGGACCACTTCCAACTACGTCGGGCAACAGGAAGTTATTTCTCGTGGCAACGAACTACTTCACAAAATGAGTGGAGGCAGAAGCACTCGCATCCATCAAAGAAAAAGAGGTCAAGAAGTTTGTCTGGCAGAACATTATAACCCGGTTTGGAATTCCCAAAGGCTTTGATATCTAACGATGACACTTAGTTTGATGGAAAAATCTTTAGGGGTTTTTAGGAAGAATACAAGATAGAATTTTATAACTCTACGCCGGCGTACCCCCAGGCCAATGGCCAGGCTGAAGTTTCCAACAAGGTAGTCTTAGATGGTCTGAAAAATAGGCTAGAAAAAGCAAAAGGCAAATGGGCTAAGGAACTTCCCCACGTCTTATGGGCTTACCGAACTACACCTCGG